CTCTAACATTCTGTGATTCCGTGATTTTGCGGGGCAAAAGCATTGTTTAGTGGTAGACTTGGCAGTGTTAAGTTTATGGTTGGACTCGATGATCTTAAAGGTCTTTTCCAACCTAAATGATTTTACGACTCGCTGAAGCTGCACATGCCTGTGTCAGTCTTCAGATTGTGCTTTCATTCCTAGTCCCAATCTGCTTAATGTACACAGAAAAGTAATCCAGATAGTGTGTATTATCTTCGTTTTGTTTTCATACCTCTGAAGGAATTTGCTGTGAATTTGGAGTCTCAGTTGACCTCACTAAATGGCATTTCTCAATGGAAATAAGAAGTCCTCTAATCATTTTGCATCCCACAAAATTACAAATTCTTCAGGCAAAGGGGCTGGGAGAGATGTTCCTCCTCACAGGCCTGAAGAGACACAGGGCAGAAGGACAGTGGCCATGGGCCCTCAACCAAAACAAATGTGGTGCTTGGGGACATGGGTTAGTGGGTTGGGTGGTGTTGGGCTGACGGTTGGACTTGATGATCCTTGAGGTCTTTTCCAACCTTCATGATTCTGTGATTCCATGAAATGCATCCTAGGCACAACCATCTGGAGTCGAATAGACATTGCAGCACATCTCAGCTACTGAAAAAAAAAAAAAAAAAAAAATTTGTTACTGCTCTTGTCTTTTTTCTAATCTTCCCCCTCATAGAGTTAGTGTCGCTCACGGTGCTGGTCTGGGGTGCCGGAGCTGTCGTTGGGTTTGTAACAAGCAGGGTCCACAGGCAGCTGAGCTCCGCTGGATGTGTGTGCTTCGAGCTCCCTCTTGTGTACCAACCCTTTGGTAACAGAGGACGCAAACCGTGAGGAGGAGACAGAGAAAAGAGCAACTTTGCTGCTTTTAGTAACAGGATTTTAATGCTGACAGATCTTCAGAGAGAGAGGGCAGTCACGCAAGGAAATGCTGGGTCTCGTTTATAAATTCTTACAGAGACAGAAGGTCAGCTTGACTTCTTGTCTATCGAAGCCCCAAAAATCAAATCGGGTCATAAAGCCTAATTTGGAATGCAACATTTTTGGTGTGTCTAGTTATAAAGGGTTTTTTTTATATGTCTCTTAGACTTGCAAGGCTTTTCTTCCAGCCATGATGGCCTGTAACCGTGGACACCTGGTCAGTGTAGCCAGCGCAGCAGGATTGATTGGCGTCTACAGATCATCAGGTCAGTATCGTCAAGGGCCATTACAGATCAGATTAAATGCTTATAACTTTTCTTGGAGACCTCATAAATGCTTGGCTTAAGCAGTTTATACGGATATGTTGGACACTCAGGAAGAGCCTGCAGACACCAAAGTGGTGCTATATTGAAGAGGATGATGGTGGCACGTTGCCTGGGTGGCACAGGGAGCTCACTGCAGGTTTTACTGGCAGTAGTCTGTCTTCCCTCCACAGAAACGCGACAGTACAGCTCATACATGTGCAGTGGGAGGGAGGCCTGCATACAGGCTGTCTAACACTTTCTTATGCCAGGTTTTCTGCAGATGAATGGTCAGAGTCCTGAGATATACGTGGGTTGTACCTGGAACTATACATTTAGTTGGAAAATAGCTTTCAGGTCCAGAAGGCATTTTGGCAGAATTTTCATTAAAATTAATTCAAATGAACTGTGTTTTAAGCTATTTACCAGCTCCATATTCTCAGGAGAGCTGTCTGCTTCATTCCTATTTCCTCAGCCTGGGTCTGCTGCCCAGTCTCTCCTCAAGCCTCTCTGACATCCTGATCCTATCTCTTAGGTCACCCGATGAGGAAAAAAAATATTGAATCTCATGGTATATAACAACTATTTTTGCACACATTTGAAAAAGCCTTAGGAAACCACACGTAAATTCCTGTATTACAATAAGGTTCTTATGGTTGCAAAATTGTAGAATAATTTAGGTTGGAAGGAATCTTTGGGTGTCATTTGGTTCATACTTCCAAAAAAAAAAAACCAAGCCTAATTTAGATCAGATTGCACAGGGCCTTGTGAGGGCAAATTTTTATTATCTCCAAGGACAGAGTTCCATACGTTCATCAAACAATAGAAACCAGACAAGAGTCAGTCTTCCCGAGCAAACAAAATGGTATTGAAGCTGCAGGGCAACGGGTTCAACAGGTTGAAGCAGCATTTATAAACAGGGCATTTAGATTTTACCACTAGAAATAGTTCTTACTGAATATGTAAACTGTGATATTTAAGGGTAAAGACATTCTGAACTGAAAGAATGCCTGGCTTGTATATGAGTATCTGGAAAATGTTGAATAAGCTCATCTTCCTATATCTCTCTATAATGCACTGAAAAAAAAATCCTCTGGAAAGGATTAAATTTATCACTAGACAACTGTGCATCAATCACGGGAAGAGACATTAACCTGCAGAGTTAGCATCACCAACATGCACAGCATCCTTAAAATGCTAATTACAAGACTGCTAATTATATAACTAATATCAGGGTTTAAATAGTATTACAAAGCATTAAATTCTGTATATAACACTTACTGCGGTGCTTTTGACATATTTTGGATATTTCTTCTTCACTTTTCAGATTATTCTGCAAGTAAGCATGCAATCCTTGGAATGATGGAATCCTTAGATTCGGAACTGTATCATGCAGGAAAACATGGCATTAAAACCACAATCATTTGCCCTTATTTTGTTAATACTGCATTAGCTAGAGGTTTTAAATCCCAGTAAGTAAAACTTAGATCTTATACTATTTCTTATGTGAAAACAATCACTACTCACTAGATATGCCATATTTCAGTCTCTAGCTATCATAAGGTTGTTTTGCTTTCCAATTCAGTATTTTTGCCCTATGGGCACATACAACTGTGCCTCTGGACATAAGAAAGCCAAGCTTTGCATACAATTAATAACTGACATGCAGCAGGGACTGCGTAAGAACCTCGCAGTCAAGGGATGGGTAGGGATGCACGGCAATATTTCAGGCAACCTTATTTGTCAGTAGGATGGGCACTGCTGAGGTTCTTTGCCGTAAGCGTTTTTGGCACAGTGATTGTCAGGATCCCCATGAATTAGCCATATTGACAGGTACTATACTTCTCTGAGTGAGAAGAGCTGTGGTGGTAGTATCTGGTGGGTTGCTGTATTGTAGTGACGGTAGAGGCTGTGGGCACTGCATTAGCCATTGCAGTAATGCAATACCAGGGATCTTGGTTTTTCAGTGCTCTGTTCCTGCTTCTGCCATTCATCATCCTGTAGTAGCAGAAATTATGCAGAGTACAGCCTTTCTTCTGGCTGGAAACAAGCCTGGTCCTGGTCTATTTACCTGTCCCCTCAACATCTACAGGAAAAAAAGGAGGAGGTGTGCAGAGGGCAGAACTCTCATGCGTAGAACAGTTTATACTCCGGATTAGCTGGGAAGATTTCAATGCTGCAGTCACTGTGGGCATTAACTTCATCAGGGTCTGAGCAGGGCTTGCACAAAAAGTTACTCATTAGTCATTAAAACACATGATATCTCCAAAGTGTTTTCAGTTTCTTTTGCTGATAGAACCAGCAAAGAGGATTTGAGAGTCCTTTTCAAAATGACTTGAGGGGATGGGGAAAAATTCTTGAATGACATAATAAAATTATTTATGTGTTAGAATACATCTCAAAAGTGAAGTTTAATAATTTCATAATGCTTTATTTCTTGTTTCACCAGAACCCCCCTTCTTCCTGTTTATGAGCCGGAGTATGTAGCCAGAAGGATCGTGGATGCTGTTCGAAAGGAAAAGTTTTATCTACTCATGCCTCTGATTTTACACTTTCTTGCTTTCAAAACGTAAGAATGTGAATCATCCTCTAGTATTGCCTTTTTCCTTTGCCATATGCCTACAAAAGCAGCAGGAAAGTTTAGTAAAAACAGTCCCTTCGTTTGTATTCCTGCAATCAATCGAATTCTATGTACCCAATTATGAAGAAACAGGGGCTTTAATTTTAATAATCTAGGTGAATAGCATTCCTCTGGCCACTTCTGTCTCTGTCTTAAGCTGTAGCTGGGTATAGAACTTTCAAAACTTTTCCCGGGATGGTACACTGGGAGCAACGCCTGGGCTAGAACTGTCTGGTTCCAGTAACTGCCTTCACCATGGGCTGTCACCCATTTCACCTGTTTATTACATGGGAGTGCCAAATGGGTTATTGCCAGACATTAGAAGTATTGAGCAGGTATAATGAGTTTATCATTTCTTTATTTATAGAGTACATTTTCTAAAAAACCCCAAGGCTAACTCACTGTTTGTCTCATCAGTCTCATTCCTAGAAAAATACTACTACTCTTCGAATCTTGTATCAAGTTCCCCGACAGCATGGATAAAGCCTTTGGTTCAAAGAAAAAGAACTGAAACCAAAATATTCTGAAGACCTGGAGCGCCATCTAATTGAAAATTTTCAGTATCAATTAATTTGGAATCATGTTTATTCTTTGATGGAAAATTTGCTACTTGTATGATATTTGACACTGGCCAGCATGGAATTTAATTCTTCATAACTATCTTTTAATCCCTGATTTTTAGCCATAATCCACTCTCTCCTTTCATGATGGTTTTATCATGAACACTTTATCTGAACACTCAATAAAGGTAACACCGAGCACGAATGTTTGATGTCATTTCATCCTCTAACTTCTCAATTTCTGAGCAAAATCTCAAAGCATGGGAAAAACGCACCACTGTTCATGCAGAAAGAAAAAAAAAGCACAAAATTAACATCTTTCCCTTTCAGGGCCAAAATAACCCTTCAGTTCCCACAAAGCCGACACGAAGAAGGTGGCTGTGGGATGATGTGCTCTGGCTGGCGAGCTGCACAGGGAGCCCGTGTGCTGCTGAGGAGCAAACAGCAGCGAGCGCTGATGGAGCGGGCGCGGTGCTGCGCGGCTTACCGTGCTCCTCGCTAGGCACAGCACGTTTTTCTAAACACAGTTCCACGGGAAGTCCCTGCCTTGTTTTAATCCACGGCTAGAGGCTGACATCAGGTCATTTATCAAAGGCTGGGGCTTAGAAAGAGCATTTGAAAAATTGTAGTGGCAGCAAAAAGTCTTGTGCCTACTCAGAAAGGAAAGATGATGAAACCCCCCAGGCAGATGAAGCAGACAGGAAAAAATCCTTTCTAGAAATTACTTATGTGATAATTAATTACCTCTATAAATTTTTTAAAACATTCCTGCAACAGGGGAGTCACAGTTTATAGACGCAGCTCTGCAGTGAGCACCAGCTGCATGTTGGACACTGGTGAAGCCTATGGGCATCTGACCACCTCGGCTGACCCTCCAGGCACGGACGTGGCTTCGAAGCCCTCTGCTGAGGCCAGCTAATGGGGTTAATGGTGTCCTGAAGTCAGCAGCTGAATCTGGACCTGCAAACTGGTCCACACCCTTCTTTTTAGTTGCAGTGACCTTAGTAAAATTACCTAGAAAATTGTTGACTTAAGAGTACGGTGAGGAATCTGTGCAACTTTCTGAGTTATTTCTGAAAAATTATTAAAATGTAAAATTATATAGGTATTGTGTTAAGTGACCAAGAAACATAACTCTGCTGTAATCATGGGAAAAGAAATACACGTAGGAGGAATACCTCATGTATTCCTGGACAATGATGGGCTGGCTTTTGGGAAAAACCTCTTCCTCTATTTGGAGAGAATTCACATCCACCTACTTCAGCTGTCTCTAAATGAAATTAGAACCTAAAGGTCCTAAATGAAAAAACTTCCTAAGAGCAGAAGCTCAAAGATTAGTTACGCAAAAGTATGTGCTGGTACTTAATTGATAGAAATCAACCCTCATGCTAATTTTCAGAAAATGCTAGCATAAGACATTCATAATTCATTTGATTAAAAAAAATAAATTTGCATACCCAAATAGGGAATCTATAAAGCACGGTTTATAAAACTCCACACAGAGGAATTAAAGAGAAACTTGCATGGTCATCTACTGCCTGCATTTGTCACCATATTTCTATTGTCCTTGACTTAAGAGCTCCCTTCCAGCTACCAATGCCTATAAGAGTACACTGTCCAATTAAAAACCTAGTGTTTGAAATCCCAGTGTTTCCAAAGTACACATACATCCAGTGAATTCATTAAAGTTCCCTGTAGATATTACTGGGAAATTTTTAGCTGAGAAAAGGAGAAAGCTATCTGAAGTTTGGCTCTTTGGAAAAGAAGGTTCATTGATTTACATTTTGAAAAGCTCTCTAGGTGATCAGGAATTGAAATATTCTTTTCTTCTTCCTAAAGAGGCAGGAACAAAGCCTGAATTACTCTGTGCAAATATTGATCCTCTTTTCTCAACTGCAAGTAAATATGTTTGAGAGCAGCCCCGAGGAGAAGGACTTGGGGGTGTTGGTTGATGAGAAGCTGAACATGAGCCGGCAGTGTGCGCTGGCAGCCCAGAAACCAACCGTGTCCTGGGGGCATCAAAAGCAGCATCAGCAGCAGGTCAAGGGAGGTGATTCTCCCCCTCTGCTCTGCTCTCATGAGACCCCACCTGCAGTGCTGTGTTCAGCTCCGGAGTCCTCAGCACAGGAAGGACATGGACCTGTTGGAACTGGTCCAGGGGAGGCCACAAAGATGGTCAGAGGCTGGAGCCCCTCCCCTATGAGGACAGGCTGAGAGAGTTGGGGTTGTTCAGCCTGGAGAAGAGAAGGCTCCGGGGAGACCTTAGAGCAGCTTCCAGTGCTGAAAGGGGGCTACAGGAGAGATGGGGAGGGACTCTGCATCAGGGGGTGGAGTGAGAGGATGAGGGGTAATGGGTATAAGCTGAAAGAGGGGAGATTTAGATGAGATATTAGGAAGCAATTTTTTTCCTGTGCGGGTGGTGAGACAGTGGAACAGGTTGCCCAGAGAAGCTGTGGATGCCCCATCCCTGGAGGGGTTCAAGGCCAGGCTGGATGAGGCTTTGAGCAACCTGGGCTAGTGGGAGGTGTCCCTGCCCATGGCAGGGGGTTGGGACTGGATGATCTTTAAGGTCTCTTCCAACTCAAACCATTCTGTGATTCTATGTTGAATATTGGGATTCCCCTATTCCACATGAATGTTGCATTCTGGCTCTAGATCTGGACTTTTTTTTAAGTATGGTTACAAAAGAGTATGCAAATTGGCATGACATTATATCTGTGAATGTTTTGTGGGCCTGAATATGCTTAACATATAATTTCATTGCTTGGGCTACAGAGTTCACGAACAGGGCTCACAAGGTGAGAGATTCATGAGAAAACACTTTGTAAAATGAGGGTTCCATCTGAAGCAGTTACCTGTTGGGGACATTAAGATCTGGTGAAGATAGGGCTCTCCTTTCAGTACCTTTTATTTTCAGTTTCTTTAACTAAAATATGCTAACCTTACCACCAACATTTGTTGTTCTAAGTTTACCACATACATACACAGGACATGAAAGGATTAAGACAAACATAAAGGAGACAGTGCACTAGTTTCTAAGCCATGTATCACCTCCTCTGCATAGGCAGAGCCTCATTCTGTATCACTGCAATCGCAGCCAAGGGCACTCTTTGGCTCAATTTCTTCTGTTTAATCTGCTTGTCTCAAGAAGGAATTTGTAAAGCTTACGCTTTCTAAGTCTCACAGTGATCTGGTAGATCTCCTTATCAGCCCTAGAAATCAGTAACTCATTCTTTTCTATGAAAATACCAGGAAAATACGTCATTTTTTATTTGTACAGGAAAGAGGTGTGATCGATCATGTAACACAATTCTAACACCGTAAGCCAAGACCTTCCTATTAAAGCTCAGAAGGTGCAATCGGATTCTGTTCCTATTTTTTAGTATAAAATTATCTTTTGCGTTTTGAAACATAATGTGTTATTTAAGAAGTATCTCAGAGCTACTGACAACCCCTGAGAAATGTGGGCTTTCCTTCTTTGAGGCTTTTATCTTTTTAGTAATTCCTCCACACAAAAACAATGTTGCAGGAGAAATTCTGTTACAACTGCAGCTGCAAAGGGGACTGGCAGGCAGTTTTATCCTCATTTTTTTTCTCCTTTGGAGGCAGTCCTGGTTCAGTCAAGCAGATTAGCCATGAGCTGAATCTACCTGTGTTGCTGCATCAATAGACAGATAATCTGTGATGAGAGACAAAATGCAGCTTCTTGCTCTTACTTTACACCCATTCGTACAATATACCCCCCTCAGAGCATATTTTGCTTATAGAGGAAGTTGATGAGTCAAGTATTTTATAAAGATCATTCACCACATTCAAATTATGAGCATTCTGAGAAAAAAAAAATTGAATAATGCTGGGTCACCTTGTAATCTAACAAAAATCAACCGCATGCAAACACACAATCACATGTAACTTTAACTTCTCAGCAATTTCTGTAACCTCTTGGATATTTCAGTTCCACTCTGTGGCACTCCCTGAGCACCTAAGCGAGGGCTCAGGTGGTTTTGGTGGCACACAGCACCCTGGGACTCTTTAACTCCCAGAGCATGAAGAAGAGAGAGGGGCTCGCTGGAGCACCTGGTCCCATTAACTCCAGGCTGGATGGCTCGGTGAACCTTAGTTCCTGCCCAGCATCAAAGCTCCCCCTGGAGAAAGAGGGTTTTTCAAGCATCTTCAGAAACCAAGGAATATTGTACGATACAAATCAATGATACAATATGCCGTAGACATCATTATGCAGTATCCTTCTAGGCTCACTCCCAGAGTGTCTACAGTTCTTCCTGGGTATATAATGCGTTGCCATAGCCAGATCGGGACAACCAGCTGAAATCTATGGCCCTAGTGAAGATAGCCACTGCATGGAGATACACTACATACTTTCTCCTTGATTCCTTTAGTTCATCTTTTACATGAGAGAAAAACATTTCCGCTCAATCCAATTCATTTTATATTCCCTATAAATTATAATTGGAGTTCTTCCTTTGAATACTTAAGCATTTAACATTTTAAGAGATGCCAAGGTGTAACTTGCATCGTATCATAATAGAAACAACTGAACTTTCCAAGAAATTGCGATGGCATGGTTTGTTCGGCCACCTGAATTGGCATTATCCCATTAAATTATCAAGCGTTCCCAGAACAACCTCAGGCTTTCCAAAGGTCCCATCACCCTCCATAAATGTCAGCCTGGAAAACTTACTGTTATTTAATGAGTTTGTTTGGATCCCAATTTTGAAGAGTAAAACCAATCTGAAAAAGTAAATTAATAGTGCAGTTCAAGAGAAGACCAAAGGAAACAGATGGGGAAAGACAGCACAGCCCAGGGGCCAGTCTGAAGACCTTGGTGGGTAAGGTTTCCCTTGAATGCCATGAAGATTCCGGTGCTTGCAGGAAACACAACCAAAGGTCTCAGGATATCCAAAATGGACAACACGCTTCCATCAGATGCTCC